TTTTTTTTCGTCAAACTTTTCGATAATGACATGAGATATAGAGGCCGAGAGGTAGAACGCTGGTACCAGGATGTAATTATAAGTGACATGGATCTGATTATTGCTCCTTTCCATATCGCACACCAGTACCACTGGACCTTGGTCGTGGCTGACTTAAGGAGGAGGAAATTCGAATTTTACGACCCCCTTGACCCCGACAAGGAGTTCGCGTTAAAAGTGACCGGTGGGTTTGCAAAGTTTTTATTCGAAAGATCGAAAGTGCAAGGCAAAGAGGTGGACACGAGACCATTCAATCACATATGGAATTTAGAGGGCATTCCAAAGCAACATGACACGACCGAATGTGGGGTCTTTGTACTCACGTACGCGTCACTTTTGGCACGGGGCCAACTTCCGCCTTTCTGTTTCACCGCAGATGACATACCCGCGATACGTCGTCGGATGRCATTGGACCTAGTGRCTCGTGAGKAGTGCGTATGTGATATTCTATAGTATGATTGYGAAGGGGGCGGACGTGGTTGGCACGAGATGGCGCTTGACAAAAAACAATGTATATAAGGTGTTAATTATTCCTCGGTGCACTGTGTCACTTGCCCTTGCATGGTACCTTACACCTTACACCTTACCCCATACACCTTACACCTTACCCCCCTACACCTTACACCTTACCCCTTACACCTTAACCCTTATACCTTACCCCCTTTCCCTCACACCAGAACGCCCATTGGTAATGGTTTTTGCACTTCAATCATCTAAAAAATGACAATTTCAATTTCGTTCAAAAAATATAAAATGTCCGTTTTGACGAAATCGCTGTTGTTCGGACTGATCAAGGAAAAACCAGCAAAATTTGCCTCGCTGCAATGGCAGATTGAACACCGCTGCCTGCCGACAAATGATTGGTTAATAGACATAACGAACCTGGAACAGAGAGGACAAACCCTTCCCTGGTGTAGGCTCTGCACTGACGCGTTCCCTCCCAGGAAAATACCAGAAACAATAGAACACATATTCCTTCAATGCCCAGGTGCAGTGTGGTTGTGGAGATGGTGGGACAGAATATGGGGCCAACTAGAGACCCTGATCCAGTGGCCCTGGGATTGGAAAGCCTTGCTATGTGAAGTCCTATCTACGCACCGGATAGATGATTTCACAAACAATTTGTTTAAAGTAGGCCGCAGGGCGGTGCTTTGGGCCCTCTGGCGACGACGCTGCACATATGAAATGGAAAGAGCTAGGCTGGATGGCCCGGAGTTCACGGAAAGCATTCAGCAGCAGATCCAAACAGAAATAAGAGAACAATGGGAAAGAGTCAGGACACGGATCCAGCAATTACACTCACCGAAAGAGATTCAACAAAAAATCAAGGAATTCAGCCTGAGCTGGCTTGGGGGGGAAAATGGGAGGAGGATAGGGGAAGTGGAATGGAAAGGTGGACAATGTGATCCAGGGGAGGGACAAGGAAGGAGAGACCTGGTGAGGGATTACCGGCTCCTTTTTCATGAGTGGACCAAGATTGACTCAGCAATCCCCTTGAGACCCACCTCAGACTTCCCCGACCCCTTCCCCCCCCCCTCCAATTGTCTAGTAGGTCTGGATTGGTATGGGAGGGACTGAGGAACCAGTTTTACTGTCACAGATATCTGGCGCCTGCTTCTGAAGAGGGATCCTCATCCCCACCATAACAGCTCTTTCTCAGTTTTTCTTGTATTTCGGTGTTTCAGTACAAACCTGCACAGTCAATCCTCTGGAAACCAGAGTAATCAATGCTGGGAGGCTGTTCGTTCTTCCGGTTCTTTTTGTTCACATTCATCAATTCTGTATATATGGGACGCTGGACCCGTTTTCCAGCACGTGAAGCTCCCCACCAATAGATGGAGCCTCCACCCGGGTGCTAGTGGTGTCTGCTCTTACCAGCACCACTAAAAAAAAAATTGTCTAGGCCTGGCGTCCGAAGTTCCCGTTCGACAAGGCTCGTCCTATTCTGCTTCCACCAGGGCTGGGCAACCTATCAGCCCTGGTGCCTATCACTGCTGTTCGGTCCAAGTTACCTGCCCATTGGTAGGGTAATGGTCCTGAGTGTTGGTCACACTGAGGTAGGGTAGTGGGATAGGGGTGCGGTAGGAGTATTGACGTGAGGATGGGTTCCAGGACACCAACGGCCTACTGCTCCAGGTGACCACTGTGTACTCAGTGACTGGCCTCTACAACACCAAAGACTTAAAAAAAAAAAAAAAAAAAAAAAAAAGGTCAGCAGTTATCCATGTTTTTCCTCCTGAACTCTTTTCATAGTTCTCAGATTGTTCTTAGCCTAAGCCAGGTAATGGCCCTGGTATTTCAAACCATTTGTATAATTCTATATGGGACGCTGGGCCCGGTTCCCAGCCTGTGTTGATCCCCACGAATAGACTGGAGCATTTGGGGAAAAAAAGAAGAAAAAAAAAAAAAAAGCTGGATTTTTTTTCTTTTTTCTTTTTTTTTGCAAGAGTACCAGGAAAACATGCCGCGATGGAACTCAGGCTCGGCAAAACTCGGTGCACAGTGAAATTCAGGTTCGGGAAAAACAGGATTGGAGGTAGTGGTGGTTAAAAAAAAAAAAGAACAGTTGTTTTATTAGGGCCCAAAACAACAACAAAAAAAAAAAGGGCCCAGTGCCCAAGGCCTGTTTCTGAATTGCCTGGGGCGGGTCAGTGTAGTGATGACATCTCAAGGCCGCCATCCTTCCAAAAAACAAAAACAAAAACAAAAAAAGAGTATCCGCTAATATCAGAAAGATATGAGGGGAAAAAAAAATTAAAAAAAATCAGGGGCGGAAGTGAAAAACATTTATGGAAGTAGTCCTAGAGTGTGGATGACTCCCCTTTATTTAAAAAAAAAAAAAAAAAAAAGGAGTGTAGATGACTCCCTAGCCATGTCTTTGAAATCCTCAAGGCATAGTACTCACATTGCCGCCCCAAATGCGCATATTTAATATGAGAAGGGCCGATTTGAGGTTTTGGGCATGCTTCGGTTGGTCGGACTGCTGTACCTTTTCAGATGGGACAAGGTCGCTGCAGTCTGGAGAAATGGGGATTTGGCACTTCGCTGGCGACCGCAAATTGTGCAAGAACTACTTGGTATTTTTTTTGGTAAATCTGTGTGACCCGCCTTCTACCCTTTCTTTTGGGGAACTTGGGATTATAATAGGTCCCAGTGTGAGTATGTTGTAAGATCCTCAAGAGGATCCTTCAAACTCTGAATGGCACCGAAAAAAAAAAAAAAAAAAAAAAAAAAAAAAAGAAGAGCAAATCTGCATGGAAAGAATTATTATTATTATTATTTTTTTTTTTTTCCAAAGGGCACCCAGATGTCGTATGATCCGGGCACTCCGGCCTGGTTCATACGACGGCTGCTTTTGAATTATTCAAGCCGGAAAACGGGTCCGGCATCCCTTACATCATAGAGAAGGCCACGGGGTAAACAGTCTCCTCTCACCAATGCATACAAAAATGAAGAAATCCTAATTATGCACTACGCAATCCTAATTGTGCGCTATGCAAATTACCCTAAAAAAACGAAAAACAAAACAGAACCTACAAAAACAAAGCCTATCACCCTTGAAAATAGCCCAACCCTGCAGATCCACTCCGGCAGGGATCTGACTGTAAGCACAGACCCCGCAAACCCACCCACCTCCTCACGATTCAAAGCAGATCACTCCACCCCCTACGTTACCTACCCTAAAACACCAACTCCCTCCATGATGGTGAATCTAATTGGCGAACTGGCTGAAATTCGTCAGCGGCCAGGTGGCACAAGTGAACCAATGCTTCGAGAAGACTTGATGTGGCAGTTGGAATGACGTCGGGGTGCAAGAATGATGATACGCATAAATTGGGAGACCAAAAGAAGTTTAAGATACTTGTGTTTCCTTATAAAAAAGGGAAAGAAACTTTTTCCAGGGGGGGAGGGGGGGCTGCTCTTTCTCCAAGTGGCAAGGGGGGGACTATTGAATTGGGAATATTCTCTTTTTCTTTTTGTGTTTCACAAAATATATAACGGGCTCAGAGTCCCTTACA